TTTTAAACTAAAAAGTTGCGCAGTGTAATCGGCCTGATTACATGGAGAGTTTTCAGCCCGGGCTGAAATTTCAGCTTGGTTTTTAAGGATAAAATCCTATTGGCAATTCCAGCTTTTAATTTATGCGCGCACAGGGGGTGATGGGAAGTACGGTATCATATTGCTGATTAGGCTGAAAATTTTCAATAACAACTGCCGAAACAACCGAAATATTTCAATATTTACAAGTATATATTAGCTATCACTCCGTGTTTACACGGCCGCCATTTTTATTTTTTCAGCATAATCAGCAATATGATACCTTACTTCCCATCCTCCCCTGCGTGCATAAACTAAAAGCTGGAATTGCGTAATAAAACGCAGCAAGTAATTACATGAGAGAAATTTCAGCCCGAGAGCCCGAGTTTCAGCCTCGGTTGAAACCACCCGGACTGAACATCGTCAGGTAATCGACGGGAAAAGCACCATAGGAAAAGCACCATAAAGCACCGTGCAAATTTATTAAATATATCTAAGATGGAACCTGCATATGCTCGGCTCCAATAGTAATTTAGATTACAAGAAAATACTATTGTTTTTCCTCATTAAGAGTAGTTGTTAATGTTTGACCGGGAGTACTGTTTGTACTTGACCGTCAAGTTTCTTGACCGTGAGTTTGTACTTGACCGTCAAGTTTCTTGACCGTGAGTTCGTACTTGAGTTTCTGTAGTTATTTCCACCGCTGAGAAACGCTAGCAAAATAATATCATTGGCAGGTATTGTATGTGGGATGAATAACTGGAACACTACCTTCATATATAAACTGTCTATATTTTTCTTGAAGCCAACTCTGACTCCAGTGTCTGGAGGTCGAGACCAGCGCGTTTATGTCTATCCTCTCGAGAGACCATGCCGTATTGATAAGAAAAAACTGAAACTAAATTCTACTATAGCAAGTTTTCTTTATATGGATTAATAGAACGTTTTCACAGCTGTTAAAAAGCTTTTTATTGGCAAATTTTAAGCTGGTTTTCAAGAATACATATTCATGTTGACGGATTGACCGTACTCGTCACATGCGTGAAAAGACTGGGACTGGCCTTTATAAGTCTGGCTTCAAATTTCCGGTTGGAGGTAGCGCTCCAGACATACATGCAGCCAATTAAAAAGGTTGTCCTTTTTAAACTCTAAACCTTAAACCTTAAACTCTAAGCGCGCAAATCTTAATGGGAGCACAAGTTTCAAGCTTAGTAGTTGAATATTGCAGCTATTTGTAAATAAAATGTTCAGGTAAGGAGATATTTATCATGTCTCTAAGAAATGGGTCCCATATATGATTTCTGAACTGATTAAATGCAGCTCCCATTATGCTTTGCACGTTTAGAGTTTAAGGTTTAGAGTTTAAGGTTTGCAAAGGACAACGTTTTTTGAATTAGCTGTATTCATTTTACAGCAAGGTATCGATTGTTGGAAACCACAACGGGTTCAAACAACCAGTGCAGGTCTAAACATAAGGCTCGCTACATGATAAGCGCGACGTTTGAACTACAGGGTGTATAAAAAAAAAACTGGACAGATTTGAAATTGCTCTCGATTTCGCAAAACACCTATTTGTATCCGGTTTTTTATATATATAGCTTCTTTGGGTACTTATAATGTAGAATGAAAAAAATTTCTCGAACTCAAATTTTGTGAACCAGGGGGGGGGGGTGTCTTTTCCAACAAACTAAAAATGGCTAGCGCACAAAATTTAAAAGTTGCAATCATATTTTGAGTTAACA